ACATGTTTTTGCCAGCTAAGATAATCTGGTTAATGGCTTTTGCCCAGTGAGAAGACTTAACATGAGAATGATGACGTTTTTGTTTCACTGGAAAAAAAAAAAAGGCTTCAGTTGGAATTGAGTCTCAGAGGAAGACCACAGCATCTGGGGAACCCCAGGGTGTTCTGGGCAGCGACAAGCCCTTAATTTTGTGAGTTGGGTTAGTAGCAGTGTTGAAGGGCTCTGAGCTTGAAGCACTCTCTCTGGGGTGGGGGACATTGCCTAGTTTGCTGGGCCAGAGAGAGTTTCTCTAAGAGAGGCCTCTGCTGCTGAGGTCTTGAACAAAGTCAGGAGGGCTGCTTCCTAATGATAAGTGACTGCCCCTCTTGCTGAGTTGACTGAGGGTATGCAAAGCTAAAGGATATGGCTACAGATTCCAGGGTTATTTCAAGTGAAAATAGTGCTTCTACCTTTGTGAAGCTTTGACCTTTGGTGCCACCAGTAGGTGGCCCTGATGAGTCCTGGTTCCTGGGTTAGGCCTAACAGACTGCTTCTGAGGAGGTCTGACCCCTGAGGGGAATCTGTCAGGATGGTTTTATAATATGCTGTTTCTCTGCTGGAAAGCAGCTGTTATTCCTTCCTTCTGTTGACTATTGAGAACTTCAGGTGTGTTGAGGGGGGCAAGGGGAGTCCCTCCTCTGAGGATCCTGATGGCCCTCTGAGGGCCTCATGTAGGTGTTTTTCGTAGTCGATGCCCTGTAGAGACTTGGGTGGTTTATTGTTTGCTGACCTCACTGAGTGAACAAATACTTTCAGTTTGCTTATCTTTTATTGTAGATGGACATAATACCTTTATTTTTTTTATTTATTTTTAATGTGGTGCTGAGGATTGAACCCAGGGCCTCGCATGTGCTAGGCAAGCGCTGTACCGCTGAGCCACAATCCCAGCCCGTTTGTTTTGTTTTTGACCCTTAAGTTTTCAAGAAAAGTTTGACCCCCTGCTGTTAGAATTTAAGATTTCCCCAGATACTTCTCAAGGTTTGACTTTGTAATGGGCCTCCTAGCTTTGTGGCCTTTGCCAATGACGGCTACATCTGGTGAGCCTAGTTTTTAGCTTTTTTTTCCCTTTTTCTGATTTTAGTCCTTTTTTAAATTATTTATTCCAATTAGTTAAACATGACAGTAGAATGCATTTTGAACATCATACATAAATGGAGTATAACTTCGTGTTCTTCTGTTTGTATATGATGTAGAATGACAATGGTTGTGTAATCATATACACACATAGGGTAATAATGTCCAATTACCCCCATGCCCCTCCCATCCCTTCACTCCCCTTTGTCTAATCCAAAGTACTTCTCTATTCTTCCCTAGCCCCCACCCCTTTATTGTGAATTAACATCTGCAAATCAGAGAAAACATTCAGCCTCTGGTTCTTTGGGATTGGCTTATTTCACTTAGCATGATATGCTTTTGCTAAGAAGCTAAAAGTATGTGTTCGACATGAATCCTAAACCTGGAAGGGAGGTCTCTAATGGTCACATGATCTCTTTTACAGGATGGAAATCCAAGGCCAGGAGAGGGAAAGCACTCAATCAGGTGCAGCAGCCTACCAACAGCATACTGGGTTAGATCCTAGAAGGCTCAGTCAGCTCCCTCCCAACATTCAGCCTGTGCAGAAACAGGCACATACCTTGCACAAAAATCCTCCAAGCATCACCTCCCATTTCCTGGGGACTCTGAAACACCTGACCCAAGTGAATGTGGCCTGATCTTTCTGCTAGCCTGAGAGTCCTATGCACACCAGGCAGCATGATGCGGTTGACTGAGCAGCTTCCAACTAGAGAGCAGCATCCTACTCAAGTGCTGACGTGTCATTCTTAGCTTTCCCTGCATGTGACCTTGGCTACCTTGACCAAAACAGAGTGAAAAGATTTGACATTCCAGGAACTAGGGAAAGTCTGTAGTCTTATTAATAAGAGTCTAGAGGGCACAAGTGGCCTACTTCTAGGTGGCTCTTGAATACCATCAGGCTCTCATCTGCCCAGCTTACCTTCCCTGGTGGTGCCTTGTGCTTCTTGACTCTGCCTTTGCTGAGCTGAACCTGCTGACACCAATGTTCTCACAGAACCTGAGGGAGCTGGAGGCAGCCCTCAGGCTCAGTGCAAACGTTCTGTTCTCCATCCAGTAGAGATGCTGGCCCACCCACATACAGACCTGTCTTGCTTCTTCCCAGTGCCTGAGCCTTGTGAGTCCTGCCAGCCACTCAACTTTTCTAGCCCTTATGGATGTGAGGACAACTGCTCTTGCCTTGCAGGCACAGTACATTGAGTCTCATAACTGTCACATAGAAGGTGGTGTTGATCCCATTTTACAGATGAAGAAGCAGGCTCAGAGAAATTATAACTTGGAGAAGCTGTGCACACAAAGCTGGGAGATGTACTCAAGAACACCCCTCACTCCCAGCTGCATATCTTCTCCCAACTAGAACTGAGTCCCTTGGCCTGGCCCAGTCCACAGCCAATACCAAATAAATGCTGCTTAGATGAATGAGTTGGCTGATTATTTAAGCATTCAATGCCTCCTGGACAAACCTCTGAGAAGACCTTGGAAGTTGTGTTTCAGATTAAGCAGGGCATTCCTCCTGAAGGTGAACAGCTACTGTTGGAAGGCAGAGTGCAGAGTTGTGACTCATCAGTGCCCACCTTCTGGGAGCACCTAAAATGGCCCTTGACTCAGGGACCCAAAGCCTCCTGGCCACGGTGGGAGCCAGTTTAGAGCCCTGATACAATACTGGATACAGGTATCAGCACAGCTTTGGTTTTATGGTCACTATAGTTTGGGTACGTGGGGGTTAGCCTGGAAAGCCAACAGTCATTTACAGAAGTTTCCATAGGAAAGGGACTTTAGGGGGATGCAGGTTGCCCCATTCAAGCTCAACCTGCTGTGACCTCTGCTTTACAAACACAATCCTGATCCTTACAAAAATCCCACAAACAAGGTTTTCTAGCTACCCCTAATTAACATAAGGAAATCAGGAGGAGATCTGACCTGCCTTTGGTGTCAGGGTTAGAAAGTGAGGGGGAATGGACTACAGACTTATATCCATTAGGCCTGAAATCAGGATCCTGTTCCCAGACTAAACTACCAATTTAGGGCTAACAGGACCTGCTGGGCATTGGGGCTTATTAAGATGATAAAAGCAAAGCTCTGGAGTTAAAGTGACTGTTTTAGACATTCAACATCCTCTCCTACCCCTCCCCCCCAAGCTCAAGCTTTCTTTCAACACTGTTCACCATTGTGGAAGGAGAATTAGGGCCCTGCAAGGACCCTTTCAAGTCCAGAGCAATGCAAGATAAACTGGAAAGTCACCTGGAGGGAGCCTGGGTCCCACCAGCTAACAGTGGCCTATCCCCCTCCACTGCAGCTGGCAGCAAGGTGGGTCTGGCTTTTCACACAAGATTAGAAGGGATTATGCCAGGAAAGGGCTTGGATGTTTACCTTGTTCTGGTGTAAGCACTGCCCCAGCCAGGGGACCAGGAGGAGCAGAGAAGCCCTTCAGCAGTTGCCAGGTGGGGCAGGGCAGGAGAGGTAGATGCCTATGTATCTACCTAGAGAAATTTCTGGGACTTACCTTTTTATTGTCTGTGCTTAGGCCCTAGCTCCTGCTGGGATAAACTGACCTTCAGTTTTTATTTCATCCTTACTACAGTCTGTCCCATCATAGCTCCCTCTCTGATCTCTCCCACTTGGCTCTCCTCCTCACTCTGCAACAGCTACACTGACCTTCTTGCTGTTTCCCTAACATACCAGCCATGCTCCTAGTCCTGGACCTTTGCACATGCAGTTCTCTTGGCCTGAAATATTTTTCAGATGGCTGACTTGGTTTCCTGGCTCACCTCATGTCTTAAGTATCACCTTCTCAATGAGGTTTATGTGGTCAACCCAAATCTAAGTGCCTTCCCCCACACGTTTCTTGGCCAGCAATCTCCAAATCTCCCCTACAGTTTCTAACTCCTCCAGTACTCACTACTTATGTATAATTATCCAGAATGTAAGCTCCACCCAAAACAGAATTTGTCTCCTTTATCCTTGCTTTTTTCCCATTTGGTCAACAAATTAAGGAACCTGTTTTAGGGATCGGGATGACAGAGAGGAGAAACACTTGGCTACAGACTCAGACAAGGTCTTGGTTACAGCTGGCAGTGGGTGGAGCCAGAGTGTGAGCACTGCTCACCATTGCTGCTCCCCTGCCTCTTCCACTTACCCAGTGTTCCCTGTACCTGGAACTGGTGGCAGAGAACCCTTAGTAAAGCCCTGAAATTACAACTGGAAGTCCAGGCATGTGCCCACGTGCAGCAAATCCAACAGATAAACCTCATTTTTCACCACTTAACAAAGGTTCCACTACTACTATCCTTTTTTTTTTTTTTTTCCTCTTGATGGTGCTGGGAAATTGAACCCAGGGACTCGTGCATGCTAGACAAACACTCAACCAACTGAGCTATATCACTAGGGATACTTAGTCAGGGATACTGCTGCTGTTTTAAAATCGTTAACTTTTTTCCTCCCATTGACATACTTTTCCCTTGTGCGAATGGTTAAGAGTATCCGTTAACTCTCAGTTTACATATGAAAGAATGGGAACAGATTATCTGGAAAGGCTTCTGCCGTCCTCCTAGGACCACATCTGCCCCCAAGAAAGGCAAGCAGGCCAGGGTGGCGTGGGCCAAGCCGCGAACCAGCCCTTAGGCGCTGCAGGACTCGCTCTGCAGAAGCCCTCAGCGGCCGGGCCGCAGCGGGGTCGCTCCGCCTGATTCGCCAGGAACGCGCGCGACGGCCGGAGCCCCCTGCCTGTAGGGGGCGCAGCCCGTGAGCTCCGGCCCTGCCTGCCGCCGTTAAGGAGACCCACCACACGGTCCGAGTCTCGGAAGATAACGCAGGCGCCTCCCACCACTGCAGAAAAGGGGGGAATGGTGCTGGTATTGAGAACCACAAAGTGTTTTCCAGCCATGCAGTCGTTTAATCTCGCCTTCATCCTCTTTATAAAATCATGATGTGAGGTAGATGGGCATTATCCCCAATGTGCAGACGGGAAGAATGACGCCAAGAAGGCGCGGCGGCGGGCTCCAAAGCAGGACGATCTGACGCCAAGGTACTTTCTCCCAGGGCCACGGCCGGCCTAGCTAGGCAGCAGCTTGCGGAGAGCCGTGCCCGACGCTGGCGGGCGCGGGACTTGGTCGGGGATCATGGCCGCGCTGTGTTCGGCGCGCAGGACCAGACGCGGGCAGGCGGCGCGCAGGCGGCGCAGGCCCGCGGCGCTCACATTGCGGCAGAAGTCCACGTGCAGCGTTTGCAGCGCGCCCCCGTGCGCCGCCACGGCCGCCAGCGTGCGGTTGGTCACGCGCGCGCAGTTTTCCAGGCGCAGCGCGCGCAGGCGCGGGCAACTGCGCAGCAGGCGGGCCAGGCAGTCGTCGGTGACGTGGCCGCAGCCCGACAGCGTGACGGACGCCAGGTTGGGGCACCTGCGGGAAGAGCGCTGTGACCCGGGGCCGAGACGGGCGCGTCAAGCCGGCCGCAGTCCCGCCGCGACTCCTTCATTGCACCTGACCGCACGCTACACGGGCAGGGGACTCTGCCTTTTACCGAGTTTGAGGAAGTCGCCTGCAATGAGCAGCCAGGATTCCAACAGGGCTTTCTGGACAATTTCCCCAGCCTTTTCTGCCGCTGCACCCCCACTATACCTTAATGTTGAGGGTTCTTCGCTCTGAGTTTCAGGAACCTCAGTAGGGAACCCGGCCCCCAGAGACCCAAGCCTTCTGTGAATCCAGGGCTTGTGGTTCTGGGTTTTCTCTTGTGGTCTTAGTTTTTCTCTGGTCTCAAAGCTTACCTCAGGCTCCATAAAACCTTTGGCAGGATTTAGGAGGGGTTTCCTTAGGGAATGGCTTAGTGACATGGAAGCCAAGCCCGGAACGTGTGCCTCAGTGTTGGTTCTAGAGCCCAGTTTCAGCTCAGTTGGCTGGGGGCAGTTATTTCATCATCCAGGTGTGTACAATTAGGGACACCCAGAGAGTTTTTGGCCCAGAAAGCTAGAGATCCCTCTGCTCCAGTCTCACCAGCACCTGCAGGAGAAAAGATCTGGACCAAAGTTAGACTTGGCTTATTTTCAGTGTGTCTTTAACCTTATTACTCACTGGGCCTTAGTTTCCCTGTGTGTGACCGTGGGATGTTTACTCATGGGCTTGTGAGAATTAGATGGGCTTTGGGGTGTAAAAAGACTGCAACAGGGCTTCCTATGTGCAGCTGTAACTCACTTTCCTGGAAACAAACAGGACCAGATTGCTTCCACTACAGGAGCCTGAGTCTGGAGTCTGTAGCCAGAGGGAGTTGAGTCTGGCCTGGTCCTTTTCCCCATCAGCCTCCCACTTTGTTCCTTCACTGCACCCAGCTGGCTTATGTCCACACAATTTTGCTGGGGAAAGAGAAGGAACTAAAATACACTGGGCCCAGCCACATTTCACACACTGAGCCCATACCTTCCTTAAATTCTTGTGCTTTCTTTAATTACATAAACAGAGCTGGGGAACTCAAAGCCTTTCCGTCTTTCTGAGACACCAGAGCCTGTTGCTAAACCCATCCTATGGCCCAGGAGTTCCACTCTACACCTTGGGTTGGGGAATTCAGCCTCATCCTTTAAAGCAAGAACACAAAAATTCGGGCCTAATTCCTCCCACCTCACCCTCCTATAACCCTCATTTCTGAACCTTGTTAAAACTCATCCAAACAACCTGGGCTGGTCTAGTCAGGACCTCGCTCCAAGTCCATCTTCTGTCATCCTGCAGTTTTCAAAAAAAGAATTGCAGGGGAGGGGGGTTCTTTCCTCCCATTCCTGTTCTGCTGCCAGCAAACAGCAAATATTAACCTTGGTGGCAACAAACAAGCCGAGCCTAGTTTTCCATGAAGCCAGCCCAGCTTGTTATGCTCCTGGTGCTTTTTCTCAAAGGTAGGATAATCTGGTGGGCTCTGTAAGCTCCCTGGCTGCTGGTGGGGGATGGGGAAGGCGGGCCTGGTGGCCCAGCCTGTGTTGGGGGTGCGGTTGAAAGCTTCAATACAGGATGTTTGGGGGACATACTTTTAAAATTACTCAATATTGATTTGAAATTAAAATTTAATTGGGTAGTCCATAAAATATGGCAACCCTAGATTGTGGGTAAATCATACCTCCTCTTGGAGGATTAGTTTGCTCCTTTGTAAAAGAAAGCTGAACTCCTGCCCTAGGGCCACTGTGAACATTAGTAAGTTCCTCAAAGGAGACCATTATTTATTGTTACTTCCAGAATCTGGTGTGGCTCAGCTAAATCTATCCTTCCTCAGCATTTCTCAGACATTGGGGCTCCTTTCTAGGGCCAAAATGGAGAGGTGTGCTGATAGCTGAATCTGGCAACCTGTTCCCAGGGCCTGTCCTTGAAATTCCAGGCCTAGCTGGACCCACCCAGCACTTAATGGCTGCCAGAGAGGACAGCTGCCTAAGAGCAGGGACGGTTCAGCCCCAGTGCCTTTACAACAGAGGCAGTTCTTGAGACCCTAAGGCTGAGAGGAGTGTTAGCTGATAGGTCATCTACTAAGAGCTGCACTGAGTTCAGGGACTGGGCATCTGCCTTGGGCCTAGTCTAAGGTGCCCCAAAGCAGGAGGCATCTTGATCTTATAATTTGCACTTCCCTCGTTCTCCCACCCCTCCCCCAGAGTCAGCACCAGCAAAACCAGAGCTGCTCAGGAACAAAGCTGCCTACCTGTCACACACCTGGAGGAGGAAATCACTGACCAGGCTCTCATGCCGGCTACAGATGCTCCTCTGGAAGGTGCTCTTAAGCCAGTCCTCAATGCTGCACACCTGCACCTGGCTGGAGTGCCAACAGATGGACAGGCTGCGCAGCGCTGGGCCCAGAAGGAAGTTGTTCTTCTTAAGCTCAGTGAGGGAACGGAAGTGCAGCAGAGGCCAAAGAGCAGGATCCTCAAACACATCATGGAGCTGGGAGCAGGTCCTGGCAAGGCTCTTCCTGCTGTCCTTGTCCAGGAAAGAGAAGAGATGCAGCAGGCACTCCCGGTTAAGCTGGGTTATGTGCATGGTGAACGGCATCCACAGAGTGTACCCAGCCAAGGCTGACCTGCCTCCTGCTGCTCCTCCCCAGCTCAGGGCTGGTGGACATATATGGTTGAGGAATGGTGTTTATTTTTGGCCCACAACTGGTCCTGAAGCTCTTGGCGGTGGGGGTGGGGGGAAGAAAAGCCAGGATCCAGACATACGTGCAGTAGTCTGTGGCTCGGCTTATGTTCAGAGGGATTGAAAATTCTGGCAGAAAAGCAGCCTATTGAAGTTAAATAGTTTACTTAAAAGGGATTTCTTTTCCTTTTAGCTGACAATGGTGTTTAGCAGAGTTCTTTTGGTTTTTCCTAAGGCATTTTCGTTGGAGGTGGCCGGCCACACCAGCTCTGTCTGGGCTTGCAGTCTACCCACTGGCAGGGAGTGTTTGTATTAACTGGTTTTGTAGGACATCATTGTAGGTCTTTTGCTCCACCTTTACCACAAAAAGGCCTGCTGGATGTCAGAGCTAAGAATGGTGGTACTTTCCAAGCTCGGAGCAGAATCCACAGGCCATGCCTCTTTTCTGTTACTTTTGTTCAGTAGACTGATGGCTTCCAGGTAGGACTGAGCTGCCTTCAAATCCTACTGCCCTCCACTGGACAAGAAGATTTCCTTAACCTCCCAGATGGCTCTAATTTTACCAAGTTGTTTCATAAAAGATTTAACTGAAGTAATTTTATCTTTCCAAGGCTTTTACTTTCAGCTTTAGTTCATTTGGCCTTATATTTTTTACATGTGTCCTTCTGTTTCTAGCTTGTACTTTCCAAAGTATCAGGACAAAGGAGGTATCTCTTAATACAACACTGCATAAAACACTTTTATGTACTTTAATAGGTTTTTGCTGTGGAAGGCAGCCATTGCATCTGCTCTGAGTGTCCTTCCCTCTTAAAGAAACCCATGGATCATCCACTGCCCCCTCTCATGCTCCTGTGGTCAAGTAGCCTAGGGGTAATAATATCTATTAAGTTCTCCCTTCTTAAAGCATCTGAGGCCTCCAAGTGGACCTACTTCCTAATACCTCTTCATCCCTAGGCCTGTGGCCCTGCCTTTGTTCCCCTGCTGTGAGTTCCTAATTGTGTTGATGGGTTGGTTTGGGGGACACTGGTACAGTGCAGCTCCAGACATCACCATTCTGCCTTCGCAGTACCCGAGGTAAGGACAGTTTTCCTCAGCTAGTCTAGGGAACTTTTGTTTACTCCCCTCACTGAACTGGAATTGGAAGACTTATTTCTGGATATGTGGTTGTGACACTGATGAGGTGGCCATGCTATACCTGCTTCTGGAATCGAGGCTGGCATGTGCCAAACAGAGGCAGCTAAGGAAAGGAGAGCACAGCTGTCCTGGTCAGCATCCCTACCCTGAGCAGTCTCGGCTGGTCTTCCTGAGCCTGCTACCCCAGCATGAGAAAGGGACTTGCAAGGGGGCCGCTCATATTTCAAGTTCATCATTTGAGTTGTTCAGAATAACAACTGCAGCCCTTTGGGTTGTGTCTGATTATGCTGCTCCACTGCAGGCGGATACCTAGAAAACCTCCACATTCCCTCCCAGAATCCTCTCCAACCATCACTTCACACAGGCTGACTGACCATTGGGAATAGGTGGTCTTTTCAGCTTGTTAAAAAGAAGTGCCGTGTAATCCTGCCACCTGCTGGAGAAGAGCCCCTGATGGTTCATCATGGCTTTCCAGCTGCACTATTGCAGCCCCGATGCAACTGCAGAAGATAGACAGGGAGAATGTGTGGAACCTTGTCTCTTTGCTGCTGCTCCAAGTCAACGGCAAGAGGCAGCCCAGACCAGAAGGTGGGCTTCCCAAAGTGAGCATGCCTCCTGAGGATCTGACACACAAGCAGCTGATGGCTCTGCCCTTTTGGCCTTGTCTCAGCTCTGCTGTTTGGCACAGCAGTGGCACCTGAACAGCACAGGTGCTGAAGGGAGGTGTGCCTTGTGGGGCATGGAAGCCAGACAGTCTGAGCTGCAGGCCATTCTGCCCTCAGTTTTAGAAGACTGACAGGAACAGGCGAATAGGTGAAACAGAAAAGCAACAGGTGTGTAGACAGTTCCTGTGTCTTCTGTTTACAGAAGGCAATGGACAGAGAAGGTGTGTAAGCTCTTGCCTTAAGCATAATTTATTGGCACCACTTCCTTTGCCTGTTTTACTTTATTTTTTTAAGAGAGAATTTTTTAATATTTATTTTTTAGTTTTTGGTGGACACAACATCTTTGTTTGTATGTGGTGCTGAGGATCGGACCCGGGCCGCACGCATGCCAGGCGAGCGCACTACTGCTTGAGCCACATCCCCAACCCTGCCTGTTTTACTTTAAAAGATTATCAATAAGCTTTGCTTAGAGCTGAAAAACTGGTTCTTCAAGGTAGCTTCTGGCTCTGAGGGAGGGACAGAAGTCTCATTTCCATAAAGTCAGTAGTCACCAGAAAACTGCTAGGATTTGAGGATTTCACTGAGCCAGGCGATTGGCCTTGAACCCCTGGCTATGGCCACTCCCTTGTAGCACCACCTACTCCATCCTGCCCACATACAGCAGCAGGTTCAAAGTATTGGGACTTCTGTAAGAACTACTACCTTTTGATAGTTAAGGCCCAGAGCTGGAGTCAGCACATCATTTATTTGGCTCCACTGAAAGGGATTCAGAAATAACAGTCAGAAGGAAAGAGAACAGACCTTTAATGATACTTTCCATAGAATAGTTGAGGCTGGTGAAGCAGAAAAGGGATGTGATTACAACTTGAATGAACCAGTCACTTGCACAATTAAACAATCCTCTTCGCATAATACACACTAAGTTTTAATGGCAAACAGTAACGTCACAGCACAACCAGCATGTGGAGGCTGTCACGCTCACACCTGAGGAGGTTCTGCACCAGTGATGAGGTGCAGAGACCTGGACCAGAGACAATTCCACACACTCACTGCTCCTTCCTGGGCCAGGGGCATCATCCAGTGGCCACACCTGGTCACAGGGGACCCACACCCTGACTGCGGGAAAAGGCCTTGCTATGAGCCTTTCCAGGCCCCAAGTGCAGAGGCTCCTTCGGCAACAGAGGGTCCATGAGAGAGTTTAGGGGATGGTGGAAGTCACAATGGGATAAATATGTCTAAAAAGATTTATGTACACTAAAACAGCACTGCCTGTCTGAAGACACCTTTCTCCACTGAAGGAGCGGTTTGGCTTAAGAAATAAATATGTCCCACCCCAGAAACCATGCTGTTGAGTAGGTTCCACAGGTTGAGACACATATTTAACACTTAACCAGGCCCAGCACGCTTGACTGGTTTAATTCTATTATATCTGTCATCACTATACACTGAGTAGAATACAGTGGATAAGCAAAGGTTTCTCCACCATGGAGAGAGATTTGTGTTGCCACAAACTGTTTCTATTCCCATCTGTGTGGGAGGACTTCTGAGAATTTCCTGTTCCATGGAGCCACATGACATGAGGCCCTGCCTCAGCATAAGTTCTGAGCAAGAAGCCACATTCGGGTTAGAGACAACATGGCGCGGAAAAAGCCCTGAAGAGCAAAGAAAGATCCGTTAACTGCGGTGTGATAAGGCTACAGCTACAGGATGAAAATACAAATAGGCACATTTACATCATGGGCACTCAGATGGATCCAATCACTTTCCAAGAGTCTTCATGATACCACTCTAAATATTCTGCTTAAAATTGAGCAATAAGAATGCTACAAAAATTCAAAGAGGAGGTGTGTTCTTCACATAAACCAACAGTACTGCCTGTCTGAAGACCACTTTCTCCAACAAAGTAGTCCAGCCTGCCACTAAGTTCCACTTAGTATGAAAAGACATGTCTTCATCAGTATGGATTCTGCCAGTATTTACTGTTCAGTCATCTCAGTGCCCATGCCAAGACTGGAGTCCTAAGTGTGATGTTAGATGATCTAGCTGTCTACCTTCTGAGCCAAGGAGCCTGACTCACAGCAGAACTAAGCAAGGTCAGAGGAGACTTACTTTTCAGTTATATGTGTTTTAACGTACTGATTGATAGATTAGCATAAATCAGTCAAACTCATTTCTGTAGACCAAATGTTATATTTGCATATAGTTCCACCTAATATAATTCAGTGCTGTAAATTATTTTAAATACTAATTGCCTGCTAGGACTCTGATTCTTAACTCTAAGACCTAAAGTTTTACTCTTTGGAGTGAAAACTTAGGCCAGTGTTGTCCAAGAGAACTCTATCCATTGTGGAATGTCCTAGACCTGCACAATCCTAGCCAGGTATGGGCGCTGAACACTTGAGATATGACTAGTATGAGTGAGGAACTGAGTTTTAAATTTAAATAACCACATATGGCCATCATATTAGATAACACAAGTTTAGACATAACTGCAGTTTGCTCCTTGTCGTGTTAAAACATTTATCCAGCAAATGTGTTCTGCTCTGAGAGAATGTGGGATTTATCCAGCTAATTATTAAGAAGGAAAAGAAGCCACCTCTGCTCCTATAACTATAAACAACTGACCTAGGAGGAAAGCCATCAGACTTTCTTTTACATTCATACACTAGAAAAAGTTTTGACTATTTTTCCTTTAAATTAAAAAAAAGAAAACAGGATTGCCAAAAAGTCTGCTTGCCTGGCTGAACATGAAATGTATTTTGTCCTTTGTTGAGAAAAGGAAGAAAAGAATGGCAGGGACAAGAAATGAACAAGAAAATGGCACGCAGTTCAATGCCTGCATGCCTGTGCTGGCAATCCTACTCTCCCCAAATAATTTACAAGTAATGCCATCACCACCTCAAAATTAAAGAGCTGTCTTAGAACCCTTGAGCAATCACAAATGCCTTCTTTAAATGAGACTCTGAGTTCACATTTCAATTTGAGCTCCATCTAAATAGTGCCTGTACCTATTTTTATGGACAACAGTTTTTAAACAAACACTACTGAGTTCAAGAATACAAATTATACTTATTCAAAGTGAGAATATTTTTAACTTGCTCTGCTCTCAGGATAGGCCAAAAGAGTTAAAACCCAAAGTAGCAATGACTCCAACTTCCTTCTGTAAAAGCAGACCCCACAACGACACCTGGAGTGTAGGTGATGGCCACCATCAATTCTGGATCATCTATCTCTTCCTCAGATGGCCAAGTAAGAAGCAAGTCTAAAGTAGACATGCAGTTACTCCCAGTGCTACAACTAAAGGGGGATTTAGATGCTGATTCAAAAAGGCAAAGAGAAGCTATGATTTT